TCTTTTCGAATCAGGGATTTTGTTTTCTTTGGGTAAATTCCTAGATGTGGAATTACTGGATGAAATGGTTTTTCTATTTTTAGTTTTTTGAGGAACCTCTGTACTGCTTTCCATAGCCATTGCTCCAATTTACATTCCCACCAACAGTGTAGGAGGGGTTTCAATTTCTCTGCATCCTCGCCAGCATTTATTATTTCTTGTCTTTTGGATAGCGGCCATCCTAACTGGGGTGAGGTGATACCTCATTGTGCTTTTGATTTCCATTTCCCTCATGATTAGCTATGTGGATGTGCCTGTTGGCCATTTGTATTCCTTCTTGGGAGAAACGTCTGTTCAGGTCCTCCACCCATTTTTTAAACAGGTTGTTTGGGGTGTTGAGGCATATGAGTTCTTTATATACTTTAGATTATTAACCCCTTAACAGATGAGTTATTTATGAATATATTCTCCCATACTGTAGGATGCCTTTTTGTTCTGCTGATGGTGTCCTTTGCTATACAGAAGCTTTTTAGTTTGACGTAGTCCCACTTATACATTTTTTATTTCCCTTGCCTGAAGAGATATGTCCAGGGAAATAAATTGCTCATACTTATATTCAAGAGATTTTTGCCTGTGGTTTCTTCTAAGGGTTTTATGGTTTCACAACTTACATTCAGGTCTATAATCCATTTTGAGTTTACTTTTGTGTATGGAGTTAGACAATAATCCACTTTCATTCTCTTACGTGTAGCTGTCCAGTTTTCCCACCACCAGTTGTTTAAGAGGCTGTCTTTTCCTCATTGTATAGTCATGGCTCCTTTTTCTTGTACTGATTGACCATACATTGGTATATAATCTTATATTGGTTTTAAGTATACACTACAGTGGTTCAGCAGTTACCCATATTATAAAACCCTCACCCTCATTAGTGTGTCAATATAGAAAGATGTTACAGAATCAGTGACTGTATTCTCCATGCTGTACTACTATCCGTGTGACCAACTTATATTATGATTATTTTTGTGCCCCTTTATCTCCATCACCCTCCCACCCACCTCAACCTCTCCGCCATGCTTCCAGTTCTGTGGTTTCATCATAAGGCTGGTAAAGAATCAGAGTTGGGGGAGTGTGTTGCTCTTAAGGATCATGCTGGTTATCATAGTGGGAGTTGATAGTTGAACAAATATGTGATAATGACGATGTTCTGGTGACCTGTCTATGAGAAAACAACAACAAAAAATGGTAGAAAGACAAGTAAGTTTAGGTGCAATCAGAGAAAGGAAGTATTTTAAAATTTCTACCAAGATTTTCACTTAGTACATTCATTCTGAACAAAGTTTGTGAAGCTTCAATCTAAGTTCTAAATAAAGTATTTCTGATTGGGATTTTGGCTTTTGATAGCAGCTATTCATATGATTGCAAATTAGACAAATGTGTATTTCTTAGCAAGGAATATCTTCTGCCTTTCTTTCCTTTATTTTTGGCTTTAAATATGTGTCGAACGCTTCTTGGAATATTGTTTTAGAGAAACTTCCTGATTTTACCTAACTGGTAATGATTAAGTATAGGGAGACTATGTAATTTGTCCTCTGAACCAGGATACTTTTGAGAATTAAAGGGGAACTATTAATAGTTATGCCAGGACAGTAGGCTTAAACCAGAATGGGTCATATGGCTGCCCTAATTATAGCTCCTTAAGACTATGGGATATACACTTACATGTTATGCAGAATAACCTAAAGCCATAATAAAAGAGATCAGATTTGTGGTTACCAGAAGCAGAGGATATGGGGAGGGGAAACTGGAGAAAGGTGCTCACATGGTACAAACTTCTAGTTATCAGATAAATAAGTACTAGGGTGTAATATATAAAATGATTGAGGTTAACACTGTGGTGTGGTATAACAGGATATTAACAGGAAAGTAGTTAAGAGAATAGATCCTAAGACTTCCTAGGGGAAAAAAAACTTTTTCTCTTTTTTCTTATATGTATATGAGATGATGGATGTTAACTAAACTTACTGTGGTAATTATTTCATGGCATATATAGTCAAATCATTATGCTGTACCCCTTAAATGTTCACAGTGCTGTATGTCAATTATATATCACTTAAACTGGAAAATCATTGAACAACAACAACAAAAATATGCCCTGTGGCTTCACAGAGCAAAATAAGAGTGTGAGGCTTGGGAAGAGTCTGACCTAGGTTGGTCAGAAGATTGAATTTTATTATGTTTCTTGTTAGGATGGAACTGCTGCCTGTTATTTCCTCCTAATATTTTTATACTTGTTCTTGTCAGTTTCTCCATGTTTCACTGTAGAGAGTTAAATTCATAGGATTGCATTTGAGGAGGAAGGACAGGAAAGTGGGGAGAGTCAAAGATTACAACGGTATGTTACTAAAAAGCCATAATAAAAGAGATCAGATTTGTGGTTACCAGAAGCAGAGGATATGGGGAGGGGAAACTGGAGAAAGGTGCTCACATGGTACAAACTTCTAGTTATCAGATAAATAAGTACTAGGGTGTAATATATAAAATGATTGAGGTTAACACTGTGGTGTGGTATAACAGGATATTAACAGGAAAGTAGTTAAGAGAATAGATCCTAAGACTTCCTAGGGGAAAAAAAACTTTTTCTCTTTTTTCTTATATGTATATGAGATGATGGATGTTAACTAAACTTACTGTGGTAATTATTTCATGGCATATATAGTCAAATCATTATGCTGTACCCCTTAAATGTTCACAGTGCTGTATGTCAATTATATATCACTTAAACTGGAAAATCATTGAACAACAACAACAAAAATATGCCCTGTGGCTTCACAGAGCAAAATAAGAGTGTGAGGCTTGGGAAGAGTCTGACCTAGGTTGGTCAGAAGATTGAATTTTATTATGTTTCTTGTTAGGATGGAACTGCTGCCTGTTATTTCCTCCTAATATTTTTATACTTGTTCTTGTCAGTTTCTCCATGTTTCACTGTAGAGAGTTAAATTCATAGGATTGCATTTGAGGAGGAAGGACAGGAAAGTGGGGAGAGTCAAAGATTACAACGGTATGTTACTAATGGAAACAGGAAACAGAAAGAAGGGAGAGGCTTTGGGGGCTAGGGAAAGTTATTTGTTACATTATTGAGTCATTCAGTTTGAAGGGTGTAGGCTATCCATGTAGTTATCACAATTAGCAGCTAGAAGCAAAGGTTTTGAGGTCAGGAAAGAAATCAAATCTAAAGTTATATATATATTTGGGCTTCTTCCACATACAGTTGACTGTTAGGTCTCAGAGAATGAATGAAATTTTTCTCTAAATTTAGCACTATGCTAGATTCAGGGATATAGCAGTAAACAAAGTAGACTCAGTCTGTCTTCATAGAATTTGTGGTCCAGTGTGAGAAACATACGGGTACAGAGTCCCAGGGGAGCATGTAAGAATGACACCAAAGCAGGATTTAAGGAATCCAGAAACACTGAGTCATTTAGGATGAATAGAAGCCTAGCAAAAAGGGGAAAAAGGACAAAGGAGGTGTATATAGAGGGCAAAGAATGCATAGTGTGAAAGCCCAGTGAAAGAGTGCCTGGCACATGTGAAAAACTGAATGAATGTGAACTGAGAAGAAAATATAGGTCAACACAGAACTTTAATGAATGCCTTCCTGTAAGAGAGCTTAGAGGGAAAATAATCAACCAAGGAGCCTAAAAGTGGAAATAGAGAATCCATAGAAAGTGTTGAAGGCAGAGGAAAGAGTCAAGAAGGAGAGGGTAATTAAGGAGAGAAGCTACTGAATTTGTGGTTTTATGTGGTGGTGAGTGATTTTAGAGAACAGTTTCATCGGCATGAAAACCAGATTGCCATAGATGGAGTGAGTGAAAAGTGAGTATGAAGGTTTGAGAAGGAAAAGAGAGAAGTGGGGTGATAGTTTCCAGACAAAACAGGAAAAACATTTTAGAATGGGAGAGACACTTCACTTGAGCACCTTTGTAGCATAAGGAGGTAGATGGAATCACAGAAAGGTAGATTAAAGAGCACACATGACTGGTTCAGTCTTGGAAAGGAGTCTTCCTTTGAAACATCGGAGAAAGAAATATGTTGGCCATATATTGGAATCCATCATAATTTGGAACTAATCCAGCTTTAAGAGTTTGAACTCTGAAATCCCCTGAGACTTTCAGAACATAATTTCACTTTAGGCCACTAATCTCCCATTCATCCATGTAGCAAATATTTATTGCCTATAATATACTAAACGTTTCAGTACTCCCTTTTAACTATTCCACCTGTCCTCTTCCTTGGTCTTCACCTCCACCTTTGATACTCCACTCTACATGCTATTACTACCTAATTCTAACCTCCTTTGCTTTCCTGCTCTTGATGGGCCTCATGGTAGTTCATTTCAGTTGCACTGTAACCCGTACCTTCAATTCTGACTTCTCTTTCTTAGGCTCTTGTACTATTTCCTTCTTCCATAGCATTCAACACCAGGTGGGTATATTTTTACAGCAGAAAGGGTTAATTAGCAACAGTCTTAAGAACTTTGCAACCCAGTTGTGTAGGACAGTTAGTCTGTTGGGTTTTAGTCAAAAAGACTAATAGCCAGTTTTCAGCCCCTCTATAGTCTTGCCTCTTGTTTCCAAAAGGACATTTCAAACCACTTTGGAAAGTAGCACACATATGTTAGAAATATCTTGAACCTAAAGGAAAAAAAATGCATATAATCTGGAATCAATCATAATAATACATAGTAGTAATCAGAAAAAATAGAATATCCAAATCACATATTCTTGTGTAAGATCCAGTGGATAATTGACTAATTACCAATGAAGAAATGTGAAAAGAAAATGAAAATAAAAGCATTTTGAGTTTTTCCTTTGTTTTAAGTAGTTTTACACATCTTTTCAAGAAAAAAAAAATCACTTAAGCTTGTTTGCTTCCTCTTGTCTTTTTAAAATGCCTTTGCTGGGAATCTGCTAATCGTTATGGTTTCTACCAACATCCTTTCCTTTCTCCCCCTCCTCCCTTAGTATCTTTTTGCCACATACATTGCTCCTTCGGCCAGTCTTGACATTGGACTCCAACAGGAAAAGAAAAAAGAAATTTATATGAAAATACAGCCACCATTTGAAGACCTTTTTGACACAGCAGAAGAGTATATTCTTCTCCTCCTTCTGGAACCTTGGGCACAGATGGTAAAATCAGACCAAGTTGCTTATAGAAAGGTATTGTGTCACTGATAATTGAAACATTGAAATTGTGTGTGAATGATTCAGCTTCACTACAGAACTTAATGATGAGCAGCATTAACTCACACGAGAAAAGCTGAGAAACATCTCACATGGGCCAGAGACTCAGAATTAAGATTTGGGCAGGCTCAAAACTAGAAAACCCGGGCAGAGGAAGTATTTATTAGCTTTATTTTTGCCCATTTCTCTATTGTTCCCTAACAAAAGACTAATATCAATGTCATTTTAGTTTTCCATACAAATTATGTCAGCAGTGAGAAATCTGAGTTTTGGTTTCCTGTGAACCAACAAAATATGCCATGATAATATACAGTCTTTGTCCCTTCTTGCCATTTCTCAGCACTGGCCTTAATTTTGATTAATGGAAAAAGCCCATTTAATTTTATGCTGGATGAGTTATCGTAAATATTACACCCATAGAAAGTATAAACGTTCCCTATATATTGTGGAAAGCACATTCTCTGACTTCAGTGCTGCTGTTTTAAAGCACCCCCAGATGTTCATCAGGTCAGACTGCTTGATTGGATGAAAGTTTCAACACATCTTTTTTCATTCCAAAAGAGGTCATTTTAAGCCTCAATGCTTGAATAGTTTCACTATTCCTATTGATGGGTGGAGGAAATTTTTAAAAATATTTATTTAGAATCACAAATTAAAACCATTCCTTGGTATTTTTTTATATTAAGTTAATGCATGTACCCTGTACATGAGGTCATTTCAAGTGGAATTCTGCTTTTTCTGTATTGTTATTCTTAGTTCATATCTCCCCAACAACTTCTTAGTGGTATTTTCTGCAGAAAAGATAGGTCAAGTAATTAAGATAAAGTTAATACCAAACACCTTAGATAGAATTACTTTATTGGACTGTGACTAAAACAGGCCTTATGGCTTACTAAATTCAATCACCAAAGTAATCAAATTTTCATTCCTAATTTATCTTCAGCCTGAAAAATTAGCATTGCTTCCTTTCTATTACAGCAATACATATATTACACTAGGAAAATTGGGATATTATATGAAATTTTGAAGAATTCTCTCCAGTCATTATTTTAAATATAACATAGAGGAAAATGAACCTGAGATAGAGGATTTAGAATTATACTAACTTCCCTAAACCAAAAATTTTGGTATTAGTGATGATTATTATAAAATGCATAGGACAAATTATATACTCTTTTATATAAAAATGAAGAAAAACAAATCGCTCTTTATTCTAGAAAATTTCTTAAATTCAGCCCAGAGGACTTTTCCTAAAGCTCAGCAGACTGTATTACATAAACTTCTTTCCAAAAAGGATAACCAAGAAGAGACTACCAAAACTAGCTATTAAATACAGAAAGTTCTAAGTCAGCCAAGCTGACTTTTCCCTGCAAGAGAGAAATGGAGAATGATTTTGTTCTCCTAACTGTATTAAACAGTGCAATACACACTTTGAGACCTACTAGGACGTTTAACTTGATAATTGACTGTCCCCTCTTTTGCCATAACAATAAAACCTTTGCTCACAAGCTAATAACAATAGAGTCTGGTATTTCATGTTCTCCTGTGGATCATTTGGTCCCTAAAGCTAGCAGTGCCTGCTTTCATCACTCGTATCCTATTATAATGAATAGAAATTGGAAATGCAACCTAACATGTTTGTTTATTAGTTCACATGGGGTATCCAGAAGAAGGAGTGGTCTTTGGTGCAGTATAGCATTGCATAGAAATGTATGTATTTTTTTATTGCATGCATTTGAAGGCTGACCAACTATGTTGGTCTTCCTGCTTTTGCCTCCAAACTAATTTACTTTATTGGCAAGTGTATTTATTTTTTAGCCTACTGTTACTGGCAATTGTGCATTTTTTCCACACTTTTTTCAACGTGCACATTCCATTTGATGTTACAAGCTTTATTACTGTTTTATTAGGTGGAGCTGGTGGAAGAAACTCGACAGCTAGATTCCACATACTTCAGAAAGCTACAGGCTTTGCATAAAGAGACATTTTCCAAGAAAGCTGAGGTAAGACAACTCTCTATTTACAAAAACAAACTTTTTATCTTGGATAGGATTATACTGCATGTATTGGCAAGGGTGGGGACCGCATAATGAAGAGAACATGTATTGATAGTAGGAAAGGATGTTTCATTTCCTGCTACTGCTTACCTCAAATGGTGCATTTGACAGGTGGCACACTTTTTTGACACATTTAACAAGAAAGCCATAAAAACAAAGCATATAAGGTAGCATAGAAGTAGCATAAGAACCAAGGTACTTCTTTATACTAAGAGCCTTCATGCCACATTATATTTCTTTGAATGTTATTGGTTATTTATGTGTGGCAGCTGCTCTATTGGTTGTCAAGTCACAAAAGAGTTAAATTGAGTTTTCCAAGCAGAAAGGAACTGTTGTGTGACAGCAGTAGGCAAAACAATAAAGAAAAAGAACTTGGAAAGGATTTGGGGGCGTCAGTAAAAAGATCATAGGATTGACTAGGATATTAAAATGTTATTTTGATTTATAAACTTGCAATTTTTGTATTGGCTAAGTAAGCCATGATAGATCCCTAAAGCCATAAAATTAAATGTGGGCATCTGCATAAAAATGACAGTTTAGATTCATATTTATTGACATGGAAAATGCCCAATATATATTATTATATGAAAATGTAGGGAATAAAAACACTGGTATTGTATAATCTTATTTATGCAAAATTATGTATATATTTCTACATGTATCCATATAGGCAAGGAGAGATATCTGGAAGGATGTTCACCAAAATGTTAAAGATAATTAGCTCTGAGTAGTAATGTTTCAGGTGATTTTTTACTTTATTCTTGTACCTGAAATTTTTATTCTTTTACAAAAAAATTTTGTACAAACAGTAAAATTATTTTTTAAACATAATCTTCATGATAGTTGCCTTATTCACAAAGTTCTTCATTTGAGACACTACTAATTAGTAGCTTGGAAAAAATACATAAAAATACATAAAGGACACAGAAATCTGTTGCTTTCCTATACACTAATGATGAACTAGCAGAAAGAGAAATCAGGAAAACAATTCCATTCACAATTATATCAAAAAGAATAAAATACCTAGGAATAAACCTAACCAAGGAAGTGAAAGACCTATACCCTGAAAACTACAAGACACTCTTAAGAGAAATTAAAGAGGACACTAACAAATGGAAACTCATCCCATACTCTTGGCTAGGAAGAATTAATATTGTCAAAATGGCCATCCTGCCTAAAGCAGTCTA